ACACTGCACAATGGTATGCTTGCAAAGTGCAGCGTTGCGTTTTGGCAACTACACGTAACTTTGGAAGTGCAATGTCATGTTTCTGAAAACACATGCTTGTAGGGTTTGAAGTAAACATATGTTTTGTGATGTCTTGTGGAATATGTATATATAAACATTTTAAACCTTACTCACGCCTTTGGACATGCAGCCAAGTGTTTTTGAAAGCACGCTTGCATTGGTCGACATAGAGACGATCTCCGAAGATGCCCAACGGTATACATTCCAAAGGCAGAACTTGCTTTTGGACTTGCAACGACATGTTCCTGCTTGTGTATGCCATGGCTGTTGAAAGCACAGCACTTGAACACAAGTGGTTTGGGGTCGAGATGCTGCACGAACATGTTCATTGAGCCAAGGGTGCCATTTTTGCTGCGCCTGATAATGATCTGATACCGTTCTAGTACCAGGTTGTTGACGCTTCCCGAACGACAAATGCTCATGTATATTTTTGGTCTCCCAAAACATGCTTCTACTTATAGCAGATTGCGGAATCGGAGAAAATATGCAACATTTCAAAACAATCTATTCAAATGGGATCCGCTTCGATACATGTTGAGTGGGATGTACTGACGTGCTGGCTTGCCACACGATGTCTCCATCCAGATGGCAGGTGATTGAATCCCAAATGCGAGGCCTTTACGGAAGAAATCATTTGGGTGATACACACCTGCATGCATGGAAACACCTTCGGGACGTATGGACTGCAACTGTGCTCTTGGTCCTTCACACTTGTCGCGACTGCAGGTGCAGAGACGCAAAAGCAGGCGCAGAGGCCCATGCCGGGCCGGTGCGAGCCATGGAGAGGGGGTTTCTCCAAGACGACTTGAAGAGATGATGTCCCTTCAAACAATTGAGCACCGCAAGAAACCTCCCAAGATGAACTAAGTAAAGGCCTTGTCATATGGAACTTGGGCGTAAGCAACAACCTGAAGAGCGTAGGGTTGCGGAAGGGAGCTGTGAGACATGCATGTTGCGTAAGCTTGCCATATGGTTGTGTTTTCATTAGTAGATTCTTAGCACACACTTGTCAACAAAGGAACTGTATGGACCATGAGAGCTTTGAAACCCTTGGGAACTGACATTTTTGTGCACAGTGTTTCAGGTGTGTGCACTGGGCTTGTTTGTGTTTGCCACTCTGTATCAAACCTTTCTCAAGTCAGCCCCATCACAACATGTCATAACATGCCAGGCTCCGTTTGGTGAGGGTTTGGTGGCGTAAGGTTCGCGTAAGCTCCACGTAAGGTTCACGTAAGCCAACTTTTCATTTGCCTACAGCAGCCAGTAAGTAGATGCTAGTGATCCTCTGCTTCCTTTGCTTCGGAGTTTTAGTGATCATGTGTTTGTCGCCCGCTCACCTGCAAATAGGAGCCTTCGCGTAAGCATTTCCCTTGGGAGTATGGTTCACATCTGTGAAAAATACAGAAGCGTAAGATCTGCGTAAGGTCCTCTTCAACATCCG